ATGCATAACGATATATCATAAATATAAAAAAGATGAATAAAGCAGAACAATTAATTGACCTCCAAAGCATGCAACAAACTATTGTGATATTTCCCAAAGTATTGTACATAAAATGTTGAATATGATTCTTAAAAAAAATTCCCACAAGTAAAAATAAAATACAACATGTCTCTGTCAGTTGTAATGCACAGTGCATGCTTTCATGTTAAAAACACTGAGAACACTTTCAAGAATTTGCTTCTGAGACTGAGCAGAGCAACTGAGGACAGAAGTAAGAGAAAGTCTTTCTCTTTTGCACCACTGGTAATCTATGACATTTTTGTATAGATAAGAAATAAAAAATGATGGAGAGAGTCTTTAAAACTTTTGTTAATTTTTTTTTACTCATTGTTTTTCAAGTTTATTTGGCCATGAAATTATGTTTTAAAATCTTGCCTGTTACTATACCAAGGGATCTAGAATTCTCTGGGGGAAAAAGTAAGGGGATATTAGTTCAAAGATTTATCTAATAAAGAATCATTAACATGACAGTCATGTAAAAAACTTGAATAAATGTTGTAAATCTCATGTTCATGAAACTAAATCCGTAGCTATTCTGTGTCTCATATATGCTATGGCCTGAATCACCTCCTAGGTCTCTTTGGTCTTGGATTGTCATATCTTTTCTCCTATTTAATCACGAAGTTCAAACCATGTGCCCCTGCAAGAAGGAAACATATCCCAGTTACCTCTGAAATGAAACTCTTCCTTCCACTTGTAACTATTTATCCCCCTTTTGTATTACAAGAGTTATTACTATATTCATCCATTATTTTGCTGACCCCATAGCTATTCTCTTGCCATTTCCCCTTTGAGAATGTCTGTATCTAACCAGATTACTTCTTTTAGCTTTCATTGTTTCTTACTTTTTACACTTGTTTACTTTTTACTTGTTTACACTTACTGTGTTCGGGGATCGAACACAGGCCCCTGCACTTGTGAGGCAGGGTGTGGAACCACTGAGCCAAATCCCTGGCCCTTACTTTTTTTTTTTAATCTAGCAAGAAAATGCCTAGAATCTTTTCCTGTGCATTACTGTTCCCCAGCTCTCTACTCAACTTCTATCCACTGCTGTTTATACCATTTTAGTACAATTGATGTCATCAAGTCAAATATGAAGATTTTTGTTTTCTTTTCTTTCTCTCATTTTCTAAAATTACTTAAAGCTCTTTAATTGTCTTCTTTGACATAAATTCAGGCTTGTAAGACCACTTGTTTCCACCCATAGTGTTTTTATGATATGTTGCTTCTTCTTTTCCTGGCAGTCTCATTCAGGAAGCTGGACTTTCCTTCCTCCAAAAGATTTTCAAAGCCAGAGAGAGAATATGCTGTTGATTCTTAATCCCCTTCCCCCTCGTAGAGTGTCTTCAAGTCTTGGCTTACGTTTTATCCTTAATTCTCATACTTATTTGATTCCACTGCATGTATATACATTTATGCTTGTATGAATCTATTTTATTTGCTTTAAATGATAAGCTAAGCTGAGACTGAAATTATTGTTATTGAACAGGGTTCCTCCAATACTCAGCACAGCAGTACATTTGTTAGTTTTTCAATCTGACCCTCCTAATCTACTGAAAATTAATAAATAGTAGCCCTTTTGTGGGAAGATTCACACCAGGCCTTATTCTTTCTGGTTTCTAAAGAAACAAGCAGCCACTATATCATCCAGCATCTTAAAATGAATGTCATTTCCCTGTAGTTGGAGTTCTACTCCCACTCTTCACATTTCCCACACTTCTTTGCATCTCTCTTTTTCTGCTTATCGTTATTTTCCTGCTATCTCAACTTTCCACTTGCTGTGTGAAGCAATCATCTACTAGGAATGTATGAGTGTCAGCTGTGAGCAAAGCAGAACAGTGGTAAGGGATGAAAGAATACCACAAGCCATGATACAGTCCACGCTCTTTACCACTGCCTGAACCCTTGACACTTGTGATGCAGCTGGAGAGATGAAGCACACATCCATAACACTGGGGAGGAATGCAGCACCCACAGACTTGTTTGCTTCAGCACGGCCTCAACTGGCAGTGAGCTAGAGAAAACTTTGTAAAGAAAGTACAAAGTAAACCTCACAGGTTGGGTAGAAGTTGGTGTACATGGAGGGACAGACGAGGGCAATTGGTAGAGGTAGAATTAATACTAGAGAGTCCTGAAGATGAGGGTAAATAGAGAAAATAAGACTGTCGACAGTCAAGAGGAGAAAAACTGGATTTTATTATTTTTTTCAAGGAGATGCTTGAATTTTGATTTGTTCTCTTTTGAAAATTGAAACAAAATGTTCTATTTTAAGTATATTTCAAAGGCATTGATGTAGGCAACGGAGATCACTGGTTGTTTTGGAATGGGTAAGTTATATACTAATTGCAATAGTCTGTGGTTAATTTTCTAATGATATATAGATGAATTTGAGGAGAGCGAAAATGGAAGGAGTGAGATCAGAAATGGAGAGATCAATAATTACTGTGGTCTAGGTTGAAGGCAATTGCGCCTGACCTGAGCTAAGGTAGGATTGAAGGAACATAGATCATAGGACTTGGAACTATATCATGTCCAGTTAGTTCGCCAGAAGTAACCTTGAAAGAAAGATTCATGTACCAATGATTTATTCAGGAAGCACTTTCTGTTCTGAATAAAATAGGAAGGAATTTGGAGAATCAAAACTGAGTACAAACACCAGACAACAAACAAGGGTATAATTTCAGATGAAGTCCAGGCCTCAGCCTAATCTGAAAAGGAAGCTCCCACTTGAGTAAAGGGGCTGGTCTTGAGTTCTCTGCATTTCCTTTGGACAGGGTAAGGGGTGAGGAGGGAGAAAATTTCGTGAATCTTGGTGAGTAATTAGAAGTTAAATACTATATAGAAAATATGTGAGAACCAGCAATTGTAAGATTTTTCTAAAGTTCTCTTACATCTTAATTTTAAAAGAATAAGCTTAAAGAAGTCAGACACATATTAAGAAGGGAGATTGATATGTAGATAGTAGACAGAGACGTGAGACATAAAGCACTGATCTCTGATTTTAATATTCTTAGTGTGCTGATAATTTTCCTAGATAATCCAATAGTTCACATCAGGTTCTATAATATGTGTAAGGCATATTATAAGTACAAAGTATTAACATATATCCAACTCCTTCTACATAGGATGCACTCTATTTCCTGAAGAGTTAATAGCTTATAATAAGAATTTGATTGAAATCAGCAAGTGGGAACAAAGTACATTCATTAGTAGAAAGTGGTAAGAATGTTGGGCCCTGTTCAAATGTGTATCCTCATTTGATATCTATGATTATAACTTTAAAGAGAAACCAGTCTACAAACTGTGTGGGATTTGTGTAGTAATATTTATCAGCACAGATATACACAGGGTGAAGAGAGCTGAATTTAACCAGAGTTGGAAATAAGCCAAGTAAATTAATGTAAGGGGGAAAAATTAAAGGAGTAAAATATTTGCAAGTAAGTAATTCTAGTGTTTAGACCATGGAATCTAGAGTAAGTACCCCAAAAGGATAAGATTGATGAATTTATTGGAAGATGAATTTATTGGAGATGTACTAAATTAATCAGCTGAAGTTAATGATCAAAGAGGAGAGCATTTGAAATGGAAGGACTTCTGCTCTTCTCGATGGCAAGATCAAGGATAGGTGAGTGCCAGGAAAGGATTTCTAAAGCAAAGGGGATCAAAGAATTGACAGCTCAGAGTGTTCAATAGATTATCCAAATAGATGATAAAACGCCCCAGGATAATGATAGGAGTAGATGCGAAAATTTTCGGTTCTGTAGTTCCCAGCTTAATCAAATAAAAATACAGGGAAATCAAAATAAAACAAACTGCAGGATTTCCTGAATGTATAAGCAATTAGCTTTTACAACAGTATTTATTTACCTTGATGCCTATAATTAGGCATAATGATTGTCTAAGTAACAAAATCATTTCCCTTCTGTTTGCACTGAACATTTACATATACATAAATAATACAAAGCCTATATGAATTCCTCTTATAAATTATTCATATTTTCCAGGATTATTAATCAAATGTCATAAGAACATTGAAGAAAATAATTTAAAACCTATGCATAGGATATTAAAAATGCCCAGCACACTTAATTATGTCAAGAAAATAATCTGAATTAGAGTTGTGTATGTATCTTTGTCCTTTATTTTGTTTTATTTTTTGTAATTAGTTGTATCCTACTTTGGAAGAGGCATTCTTAGAAGAACAGGGCTAAACTACACATAGATTGTGCAGATTACATGTTTATTTATTTATACTATATACCTCATCTTAACCTTACATATATTCTCTAGTTCTTTCTTATATTGGACTAAGCAACTTCAAAAGAAAATTCAGATAGTCCATTTCTTTTAAACATTTGTTTAAAATGTTAATTTTTGTGTTGTATCACCTCTAATGTGTCTCAGCTTATCTTTTTGATTAGTAGAAATAGCCAGGATGAGATGACTAAAAATGAACAGATTTTAGGGGAGCACATGTTTGTTGCTTTAGAGGGAGTAGCTTTTTCAAAAGCCCTGGAATAAGAATACTTTAGATTAGAACCCCTCTTACTCCTACACAATGAGAAGTTAGTATCTTACTCTTGATTTTCTTGTTTAAGAAATGTTATCATTTCTCTTAATATAATTTGAATATACAAGAGGAACTAAAGCATAAAAGCTTTAAAAATATATCATAGTTTTCTTATGTAGGCCTATCGAAATCATTCAGTAAAAATTGTTGAATAGACAACCAATCATTTGAGAAATGTTTCATTTTTCTCTTTTAATTGTTATCCACAAAATGGCCATGGTTATTGATATCAAATTAGGATTTATGCATTGCCAAATTTTTAAACATCAGAAAGATGAAAATGTATTATATCTGACATATATATTTAAACTCAAGAAAACTGAATGAGAATTTTGCCAGATTTTTAACTACCAGTGGGTTGGTATTTCAGGTTGGAATTGTACAGTATGGAGAAAATGTAACTCATGAGTTCAACCTTAATAAATACTCATCTACAGAAGAGGTACTTGTTGCAGCAAAAAAAATATACCAGAGAGGTGGCCGCCGGACTAACACAGCCCTTGGAATAGACACAGCAAGGTATATGAATAAAAAGCAGACCAAAGTAAAAGATGATGAAAAATAACTGCTCATAGCTGTGCCCTTTGGAGCTTGATTGAACATTTATATTGGTAATACTTAGTACCACTCTGTTTAAAATCAGATTCAAAATTGATTCTTAGAGAATCAAGTTTCTCTGTAATGTAATCTCATCACCTGTATTACCTTTTCATGTTGTTGCAAGGATTTCATTAATGTAGAGTCAATTTTTAAAAATCACTGTACTCTATTGCATCATGTTCTTATATACTGACTTAATATTTGTTCCATTTACTCTGTTTTCAGCTTCTAAGAGTCTCAATTTAAAAGAATAAATGAAAATATAATTCATTTCTACTCAATAAATATTTACATTCTAATAGGTCCCTATACTTTTAGTATTAGATTTAATGTTATTAAAGCTCAGACAAGAATTTTTAAAATGTCATATTAATTATGGTTTCATGTCCAAGCATTTTCAGTGCAAAATTTGGAAGAAATGAAGAAGTTTTTTATTATTTGTAATTCTTTGTTTTCTTCCTTCCTTTTCTTAAATTCTTTCTAATTTACATCCCTTCCTTCTTCCTTCCTATAGATTTCTTCATGGAGAAAATCCACTGTGTGGTAAAATTTTGTTTTATAAAGACCTAAAAACTGTCCTCTCTTACAAATATAGAATATTTCTTATATTTCATCCAATCTCATTCATTTCTTATCTCTTGCTCTTTCTCCCTTTGTTACTCTAAAAACAAGATAATTTTTATTTTATTTTATTTTTTAACAGCAAATTTTTAAACAAAAACTAAACAATACCTAATTTTATAAGAAATCTGATGAGTAGTGTGACTCCTGTTAAGAATTCTTCTGTTACATATCTTCAACTTCTAGACTCTCATCTAAAGCGAAAGAGTTAATGAATTGCCCATGGTCTTACTTCACAGTGTTTTAAGGTTAAATCATTAATATGGATACTACAAAGAATGGATTGGATATGCAAATATTTAAAATTTCATGTGCAACTTTACACTCATAAATGTGAGAAAAACATGTGGATCTAGTTATATAGAACCCAAGAGAAAATAAGTGCAAATGGATGAGGCAATTTTATATTTATCTGCCAATAGGATCTCCATTTGCACGCACAGGGAGTGCACATGTGTAGGTTTCCTCAGTGTGCCCTCATCAGTAATAATTAACCGTGACTGTACATTCAAAGTAAATCAAAGTGTTCTTTGAAAGCTCTGAGGCTGTAAAGAGTTGTGCATTTTCCAAAAGCACCCAGTTAGGAATGAATATTCATCATAGAAAACTCACTTACTGCTTCTGCATTGAATATCACTCTCTGCATCCTCTTACAGTTTTTGCCTATGTGTTTCACAAAATGTCTAGCTGTACCACACAGTTGACTGAGTTTTGAATGTGCACAAAAAATCTATAGTGATATTGCAGTACTAATTGTTTTTCTCATACATTAGTTTTTCATATTTAAACACTTTTTTCATTGTTTTTCATTCCTTTCCTTCAGAAACAGTTGCAAACAACATTTACAATTTCTTAAAATCCATTGCTCTAATTTTTCATGCCTCCCAGCTCAATATATATTTTGTGTTACCTTTTCCCCAATCCAAATTCCAAATCCCAAATCCCAAATTTTCATTCTTGCCAATAGACTTACAGTATTTGATCATATGCATGGATTCTGCTATCTGAAAGAAAGGGCACTTCCTGGGTATTTCAATTTTTAAAGCCACACAAGGAGGACAATACTTAAATCCAAGAAAGAGGATTATATAGCAGTATTTTGGTGACAAGGACAATTTGTTAAGGAATATGCTTGAAACAGATTGGCTGGACGCCGGAATACTGCCAGTGGTTGCTCTTCTATTATAAAAGGTCATCCCTGGTTTCAAAGCAACCAGATTTTCTTTAAGGAAAATCTTTTAATCATCTTCCCCAGCTGATGTTCATTTAATTCATTTATGACCTTGATCTTTAAGAAAATTATAAAGTTTTGCTAATCTCTAAGGAATTAGAATTGCAAAGAAGAATGAGTCTCAGATGATATTCACGTTCAAAACTTCTTTTAAAGCCTAGCCTTTAACATGTGCTTTCACCTTTGTTCATGCATCTAAAAAAGTCAGAAAATCTCTTTATATAGTATGTTGATTAAAAACTATTCACACACTTGTTAAAGATGTTAAGGAAGACCTCCTTGGAGAGAAGACTACTGCTGTGGGGTTTTGCAATAGGGGGAAGAGCCTGGGCTCGATTTTGAATACAACAAGGATAAGTGGAGATTTATCGCTGTGGATCAGGTTAGGGAGTCAGTGAACAAAAAATTACTACAAGGAAAAATGAAAGTTAGGGACGTTCTTGCTAGCTTGACTCAACATGATTCTTGCTGAAGGCAGGTGAATAGTAGGAGAAACTGTTCTCTTGCTGTACACTCAACACTCAGCACTTCATTTCTGACATCAGGTGTAGGGATTATTCCCCAGTGTGATTAATCTTTTGACATCAGTTGGGTGTCCTTAAAATTCAGCTTAATTCTGACACTAACCAGAGTTAATGCAGATATCCTATAAGTTAAGGGCTTAGTCCTATAAGACTGTTCTCCACTTTCGAAGCAACCAGTAGATTTGCATCCAGGTTACACATAACTTTTGTCCAACTTGACTACAAATCTGAGTTTCCTGTGACCCCCCTTCTTAGGTTTGATTATTTGCATGCCACTCCGTATGTATATAGCATTGTGAAACCTCTCTGAGCTCCATAATTCAGGAATTTTTATGGTGCTTCATGAGGTAAGCATGGCTGATTATTAACTCAATCTCCAGCCTCTCTCTAGGGCCTGGAGAATAGAATTAGAGCTGTATGTTCCAAGCTTCTAAGCATGCTTGGTCTTCCTGGTGACCAGCTCCACCTAGCAACTCACCAAAAGTCACCTCCTTAAAACAAAAAACACCCCATCACCTAGGAAATTCCAAGGGATTTGGAGGTATGTGGTGGGAAAGAGGGATGAAGACCAAATATATGCTTCTTGTTAAAAGAAAATTTTATACAAAGAAAGTTTAATGGACATTAAATGGACTCATGAATCAGGCAGCACTCAGACTCTGAAGAAGATCAAACAATCTGCGGAGGCCGCGTGAGCTAAAACTGGAATAAGTAGGCCGAGGACAAAGCCCAAGGTCAGATCCCAGGCTAGAAGAGGGCTCAGTGGAACCTGACTCAGCTTTGGTCAAGGAGAGTCTTTGTTAGGAATAAAAGACAGAGGTACAGTTTAGTATTTTTCTTTCTTTTGAAATTTTTTTTTTGAAAACTTAAAGGTTTAAGAACTAGTACAAAATTCTGTGTATCCATTCCACAGAATTGACAGTTGTCAACATTTTGTCACATTTGCTTTAAGTTTCTTTAAAGAAAAATAATCAGATGAAGTGCCTTTGCTGGGTATCAATGGTACAACTCATAGGAACTGTGTAAATCATTTGGAGTGTTAGTTTTAGGAGAGGTGTTTCTTTGGCATATCCCTAACTATTATTCAACCAAACTATAATATTTAAAGGGCCTTCACTGTAATGATTGCTGCCTTTTAAACCAAAATCTAAAAATCTATAATAT